TAATACATGATATAATGTAACCATAAAGCTTAAAATATGATGAAAACTTAAGCCCAATATATAATAGCAAAAACTCTTTTAGAGTTTTGATAGCTAATATACCTATATGCTATAAACATAGTACTAAACTTAAGATATGAATAAGCTTAAGTTACATATATAATAGCAAAAAACTCCATAGAGTTTGTTAGCTAATACATGTTATAATGTAACCATATTGCTTAAGATATGATGAAACTTAAGCCAAATAGCAAAAGCTCTTTAGAGTTTGTTAGCTAATATAGTTATATGATATAAACATAGTACTGAGCTTAAGATATGAATGAGCTTAAGCTACCTATATAATAGCAAAACTCCGTGAGTTTGTTAGCTAATGTATTTTTACAATATGAGTATAGTACTATGCTTAAAATATACTTGACTTAAGCTACGTATATAATAGCCAAAAAAACTCTGTAGAGTTTGTTAGCTAATGCATTTATCATGTAACCACTGTGATGATAAAAACGAGGCTTAAGCAAATTATATATAGCATGAAGCTATTTAGTACTGTTATAAGATAAGTAAAATCTGTAAGATTGACTTATCTTCTCCGAGAAACTGTCAACTGTTGTGCAAGGACCATGGGATCAATTGGTGGATACCTGAGATGTCCTCGGTGGTGATATCTCTCAGATAATGGTTGGCAACCACCATATCGGATCTACAGTAATAAACCCTCCATTATTTCAAATAACATTTGTGTAGATGAAATTGTAGAAGTTAGGGCTCTAATATCAAGAGTATTAAAGCTCATGGAGGGTCGGATTAGGTCCATCTGTCTTGTATGCACGTAGTATGACAGTTCTGATCCAAACGGAGATATAGTACGTGAGACTACACTCTGCGTAAGTTGATGATAGAGGAAAAATCTGTTGTATTTTTTCTTCCTGTTTGGTTTGGTGGAGATAAATTTACAGTGCTCTTGCTGGCCAGCGTGATAGCATCATCGTATCATGGAGTCCAAGTATGTCATCCAGGCATGTTCATAAACCTCACTTGTGAGGTGTTGTAACACTATATTCATATCCCCAAGTTGGTACGTGAAACTTCCGTTTATTCTCCAAACAGAAACTTAGTAGGTTTACTAACCATCTAGTTGTGTTAGTAGCTTGATGATGAAATTCAGGTGTAGTCTGAAACGCTGTGGATTTCGATCCACTTGTATCACGTCGTCTAGGTAAATCGTTGCGATGTCCTTGACGATGTATGTGCACACAACGGGGAGTTTGTGTCCTCGATGAACTTTATGTAAAATCGCCTGACTGCTGTGCCCTTGTCTAAACTTGACAGGGGAGGTCTCTAACCTGAAGAAAGCAGCCTAATCATGAAGGTTCAGGTTAACTGGGCTGTAAGGAGGCTTGCTCGTTCATTGATATAAAGTTGTCACTTGCAGCCTATGTCTTGAACTGTGAACTATGCTCGACCTCTGTGTAGGGCGTTGTTCATCGAGGTCCAATCAGAATAAGGCATTTTGATTCTGTAGAGTACCCGCGCTGTGATGTCACCGGTGTAGCAGGAAAAGGAACCTTGTATAATATAGTGCCGTCGTTGATATTAGAACAATCATCGGTCTTCATCGTAACTTCCCGAAGTTACCCGAGTGACCACGTGTTTCGAGGATTAATGGTAAACGCGAAAGCTTCGGCGCAAAATACCTTGCTCTGTAATATTAATGCTGGGTAGGTTATTTTCCTGGCTGTCGTGAAAGTACTTCAGTTTTGAATATAATTCCGACTTCTTTATATATAAAGGTACAATAACTTGTAAGTTGTCAGCTTGTAGACTGTATACATGAATGTATCGTCATAATTGTAGAATTAAAGCTGAATTTGTTGTACATATTTCTTCTCAGAAATGTTGACGATTATGAGTTATACTCGCTGTAACAAGGCTGCTGTTCAATTTCGATATTGAATTGTCTGCAGATATGCGTAATGGTCACGCATGTAGATAATCGTATCGTCGTCCGGGATTGCATATACTAGCAATTTATACGGAATAGTTGATTTCTGTGAAGATCTATGAAACGTCGTTGACAAATTAATACAGCGACGTTCTGTGTTTATAAATAGCCTGTGCAATTGTCTTCGCGTAGGCTTATAGACGGCATCTGGCATACAGTTGATAGACAACTTATGCGATGTCTTGAACGGACTGAGGAGTAGCTATATATGACGAGTGGCTGAGTATATGGAGACCTTGGAGGAGACTTCCTCGGTGAACGCCGGAGACTTCACGAAGCTCTCGAAGTATCCCTTCTAGATCTACTGGTGAAGTAGACTTGGAGCCACTTAGCCTTCGCGACCTTCGCGAAGGTATCGAGAATCAAAGTCCGATTAGAATATATATATATATATATATATATATATATAGAGCGCTTGCTTCGCGAATGGCCTCTGTGTTTAACAGGATGTGGGGTCGGCGAAGCGCTTCTCCTCCCGCGACGTCCCTTGTAGCTGGTGAGGCTCTAGCTCCTTCGCGGGAGGCGGCCTGGGACTTGCTGGTTCTGCATAAGTAGGGCCGAGTGGATCATCTTATCATTTTCAGAAGTCGTGTTACGAAATCTGGTGATAAGTGTCTCAATGATCGTTCTCGATCTATTTAGGCCAACGAACATACGTCTCGTCATGGATTCAACTGAACCAATTTACGATTGTAGTTCTTATTGTTGATATCGATGATCAACTTGTAGTTTTCATCGATGTCTTAAGCCTTGAAGAAGGGGTCCATGTTGTGCGTGGAAAACTTCTAGGCGTGAAAGTTCGGCAATTATGGTGTCTGAACTTTTTGTGGCTTTATGGGATGCTATGTCTAGATTCTGTGCTACCGCAGCAATCGGGTCGATCGGAGGTAGGGTGATAGCATCTGCGTCGTCTTCCTTCATCAGGTATGTCTGCGTCGTACTGCCACTCTAGGAAGGTGATGTAGACTTGTGTGCAGACTTGTGTGGTAACCTGTGAGGCGATCGATGTGGTGATGTACGAGGAGATCGGAGACTATTGACAGCTTCGCGAAGCTCTTGAGTAGTCCCTTGACTCTGTTAAATGACGATCTATATTCGGGTGTCCTTCCCGAGTGCCTTCGCGAATGCCTTCGCGAACGCCTTCCGAACGCCTTCGCCATGAGCCTTCGCGAAGCTTCCTCTGCGTTCGGTGCTGGGGAACGGCGATTTGAGCTTCGCGAAGGCTTCCGTGAGGTCTGGTGGCTGAGTCTGCATCTAAGGATGAAGCCGAGGAATGTGATGATCTATCCGCCCAGCGAAGGCCTTCCGAAGGCTGTTCATCTGGGTCCTTCGTCAAGGTGGTCTCGCGACTTCCTTCGCGAAGGCTGCATCGTCTTAGCTGCTACGTTGACTGGAGGTGCCTCTAGAGTGTTGTCTAAGTTGGAGCCTTCGCGAAGGCTCGTACTCTGGGCTGGCTGCTTCTCCAGTCTGTAGTGACCCTCCATCCGCGACCATGATTTGCCGTAGTAGCTTCGTCTGGGATGGTCTGCGGCGAAGTAGTCGGTGCCATCTCTGCGCTGTTAGTGGTGGGGCCCTCAGGTAAGTCGTCTGACATCAGTGTAGAGACATCAGGCTGCATGGCGATCTCTGCTGATGTCATTGTAGCTGTCACCCGGTCGCTACTTGTCTCATACGTCGAGGATGATGATCGGCTGATCATCGTAGAGGCCAAGTTCAGCGGCTGGAACAATCTCGGTTGAGAAAGTCCTAGTAGACTTACGTTGAATTCCCCTCAGAATTCGGCGCTGCCCTGGGGTGCGAAGTCTGCGTTGAGTGTTGGTAGCGGCGGGACCCTCAGGAAGATCATCGAATGTTGATCTGCGCTGACATCACTGTTGCCGACATCAGTCATTCTTTGATGTACATCAGGAATGATGATCGGCTGATCATCATACAGGCCCAAATCTGCGATGAGAACAATCTCGGCTGAGAAAGTTCTAGTAGACTTCGTTGAATACCCCTCAGTCGCGACGAAGGGATGTCTGGGGAAGCAGGGCGGCTTCTTGGAAGGCGGCGGACTCGTCCACGCCTCTCCACCATTCTAGCGGAAACCCAGGCGGGAGGGTGGACCAACAGCAGTAGACTGGCGAGGGTTCAGGTGTATCAGTCATGCTAGACTCTGCATCGTGACCTATCTGCTGCGGCGTCTCAAACGCAAAAGTAATTATTTATTAAAGGTAGAATTGGATAAATTAGTATCGCTTAACTGCAACGTGAATCACATGAAACATGGCGCAGTACAGCTAGGGCATATTAAATGCGGATCAGCAGCAGAATAAAAAGCGTAATGTGCAACAGTACAGAATTTTATCAACGTAATCCACTGCAACAGCACGGCGTCCGTGCATAAACAGTAGAAACACGACTAAATATCAATATATAATTGTTGAAGATACTAGCTAAACCTCTATAGATCTCTATCTGAGGTAACTAACTAAATATAATCAAAGGATATAGTGTGTCGGAGACACCGGCGCTCTCACGTCCAGCTCACTGGGCGAAGAAGGAGAGAGTGAGGCACATGGGTAGAGGTGGCGCCCTCGTTCCCGCGCTTGTGGAAGGGAGGTAACTCGTGGTGTACTAATTAGTGATTTTACATTGAAGGGAACTTCAATTAGGGAGATACAAGTGTTCCACTATGTTCGCAAGAGGAAGGAGACAAGCAAAAGAGCATGAGTCAGGATAAGGAAAAATCACAGATATTATGTAAGAAATATGAAAAAGGCAATCATTTGTGAGACATCTGATAGAAATAACGACATTGTTTTTCAAAATCAACCATGGTACACCAATTATGAAAGTTTAAATCAATAGTGTTAAATAATGGTTACAAATCTAACATGCTGCCTGTGACAAGTGTGGGTCATATCCTGATAAATACATAAATCACAGTATAGCACGAACATCATTACTGTATTCCAACCCACAATCCTAGAGGCCCTTTTCTTCCCATTCCTTTCCCATCACAAGCTGAATGTCTCCTTACACTTATCGGCCACCATCTTGGCAATGGCAAGGGATGAGGTAGCAGCTGGTGATGGAGCATTACGTACATGGAGGATGCGGCTAGCAAGATCTCCTTGACCCTTGTCAAACACAAAGTCTTCTATAAGGTTCCCCTCTCTGTCCAAACCCTGTGCTCTCACCCCTGTTGGTCCCCTGGAGACACAAATGCACAATCTACTTCAAGATAGATGTACATACTTTAAGTCAATGGCCACATTCTCAAGTAAGAACTATTATTTTCCTGAATCATCATTTGGTTTCTTTGTTTGACATGCTCAGCAACATTCCAGCTGTATCAACTCTAAACTATTGAGTCTGGACCAGATAATCCAGTAATTTACTTCATGACCATCAATCCGTGCAATTGGGATACAATGACATTCCTTATACAAGTCAAAATGCTTAACCACCTGATCTCTTTGGTATGACAAGCATGAGTCGCTAAAGACCAATTCTAACCTAGATCCTGATTAGCGAATCACTAGTAAGCACCAGTCATCCACACAAGCGATTCTGGATCAATCAGGTCTTACAATCAGACTTACTGACTGACTGACTGAGTTGAGTTTTACGCCGCTTTTAGCAATATTCCAGCAATATCACGGCGGGGGACACCAGAAATGGGCTTAACACATTGTGCCCATGTGGGGAATCGAACCCGGGTCCTCGGCGTGACGAGCCAACGCTTTAACCACTAGGCTACCCCACCGCCCCCAATCAGACTTACAAGGTTCACTGCACACATGTTCATGTTAACTGTTATAAACATACCATATATTAACGTAGATAAGCTGATCCCATAGATAAGCCAACCCCCTAAATTGACCCTTAAAATCAGTATCAAAATGGTATGTTCCATACATAAGCCGACCTCCCAACCTTCACTTATCTTTTCATCATGATCAGTCATCGGAAATAGTGTCAACATATTATTTTTATGATAAAATTCAAATTGTATACTTATCGTGACCCATGCTTTATTGCTTATCTCCCTTCTCCTTTCAACGGTTACGTGGAATCTTGAATACCTTAGTACCCTGAAGAATCGTAAAATCACTCACCCAACGAGTTGCCTCCCTTTTCCCACCAAATCTGTCCCATGTGACTTGAGCCCCGCTCTCATCACTCTCTCCTGATAAAGCTCACACTAGGTCTTACAGTGAAGCCCATAGTGCTGAGAGGGATGGTTGGGAGGGCTTTAGATCATGAGTCAGGATAAGTATAAAATATCAATTTTACCATAAACTTTACATATTTTTCCTTATCCTGACTCATGCTTTATTGCTTACCGAATCCAACGGAATAAGCGGCGGGTCAGCCACCTAATGGGATTCACTGTGACTGTGATTAATAGTGTCTGATCATATACCCTATGGGAACTCTTCCTTGCAGCTTCCTGGGATGTTGATGTCAAATCAGGGATCATATCTCTTATAAAAGAAGTAAATCGTGCAGATTTCATGGATTTTTAGATAATCTAGTACACCTCGATGTCTAGTTATCTATAACGATCCATATGTTAAGGTAAGGGCTATTACCGAAACTGAATCGCGACCCATATGTTAAGGCAAGGGTATAACCATAACTGAGTCTATATCACTCATGCACTGACTTATCTTGTAAGACAGGGGAACATGGACTCTCCGCCGACGGCAACGTGTCTGTTACCTTAGCATCAACGAGTCTGTGTGATAAGGGTGAGTTTCTCATATTCTAGCTGGAATCATGAGTTGTTGCGCTACTACAGGAGGGCCAACCTCATAGATACTGGATACATCTTCTGTAGTGATGTCTCGAAGATAATGGTTGGCAAACACAGTGTCCAATTTCCAAAAGCAGCCTTCCATGATGGATGATGAATGATGGATGATAAAGCGATTCCCATGTAGGGCGAGTGTCAAGGCTAATGCTCTAGCTTTGTGTGGGTTGGAGGCTCCAGGAGGGTCCAGCCCTGCTGCTTTGTAGGCTCGTAGGATGACAGCTCTGATCCAATACGAGATGGTAGTTCGTGAGACTTCAATAGTCATGGCAGGTGATAGCTGTATAAAGAGACGTTTGAATTTCCTCCTTTTGTAGCAGTCCGTTGTAAGTAGATTTTTAAAGCTCTGACTGGGCATAATGACAAGTCTTCTGTGTCATGTTGTCAGAGGAATGAAGACAATGCCGGTACGTGGAATTGACGATCTGGTTCTCCAGGTAGTTGATTCTTAGCTATAAAATCCAATTTTAGTCCCAGATGGACTGCAGCATGCTCTCCAGAGTCGAACTTAGTTCGTCCGTAGTCAAGGGCGTGTATTTCTGACATCCTATCCGCTGTAGCTAAGGCAAGGAGGAATAATGTCTTTTGGGTTAGCAATTCAAAAGTTGTGTCTCTTAGTGGTTCATAGTCGTTGCTGGTAAGATGATCCAGCACTATGTAGAGGTCCCATGCTGGAGCTCTAAACTTTTGCTGTTGGTCTTCTAATTTAAATTACCTCAATAGGGTGACGAGTTCAGGTACGCAAACTGGTCGAAACTCTTCCACTAACCATCATAGAAGTATCGAGTTGATCGTCTTAAGGCCAGTGTAACTGCCTTAGCTGCTCTGGTGGAGTACCCTCTTCGTCTCGGGCAGTGCGTAATATGTTCCATGCGTGTAGCCGGAGTGCCATTGGGTTGCCATGAGGTTGTTTTGTGTCAGGGTGGATCAGCAGATTCAGCCAATCTGGTAGACGTAGCATTGGTTTTCATAAGAGCTGAAGGAGTTCTGGAAACCAAGTTCTCGCTGGCCAGTTAGGCGCGACTAAACTCGTAGGACTTTGGTCTGGGTGATCTTGTGTAGAACTTGGCATAATAGGATCGGTGTCGGGAATGCGTATCCATTCAGTCCCTCCCAAGATATGGCTAGAGTATCGAGAGCCCATGCTTGTGGATCTGGTACTGGTTAGACGAAGGCCGCAACCTGATAGTTGAAGCGAGTCGCAAACAGATCTATGAGAGAACAGCCTTGGTCTACTGTTAGCAGTTGGAACGCTTCCAGGTGAAGCATCCATTCTGTGGGTTATGGTCTTACCGGTCTGGATAAGGCGTCAGCTAAGACGTTCTTTGCCCCTTTGCTCATAACGTTAGTTGCAGTAGAGGCGTTGAGCCTTGGAGATTTATGTAGAAGGCTACTGTTGTGTTGTCTGTGTTAATCATAAGGACTTGATGCTTTAATAGATGCACCCAGAGTTGAACTGCCTCGATAACCACCTTGAATTCCAGTTGATTTATGTGCAAGGTCTTTGCACCATGTTCGAGATGCAAACTTTTCGTTGAAGTGCACTCTCCATCCTTGTAGAGATGCATCGACGAAGAGATGTAGATTGTAGGCCAGCTCTTGCAAATAAGTCCTGTCACAGACATTCGACTTGTCTGTCCACCAGAGTAGACATGACTTCAGGTGCTGAGGGATAGATATCTTCTGCACACTGTTGAGATGAAGTCGTAGGAAGCGTTGAAGTGGTCGTAACTGCAATCTGCCAGCCCAGTTACGTTTGTAACTGGATTGTATACTGTAGTTGACGTCTAAGTTGATCTGTTAGTTGATGTGCCTGTATGCCGACGTCAAGGTAAAACGCACTGCAAAATCCCCTTTGATGTAGAAACGCAACAATGGGTTTTGTTACATCTCTAACTAGCCATGGAGGGTCGAGGTTCCGCAGGGGAGGACCCTCCACTGATAGTACTGCTCTTGATACAGGAATCGCAGATACTTCCTCGAGGCCGGATGTATAGGGAACTGCAGGTAGACATCTTGTAGATCTATGCTGGCTAGGTAGTCATTGGGTCTGATTAGATGTCGCAATTGTGGTAAGTGCAGCATCTTGAACTTGTCCGGTTTTAGTAGATCATTTAAGTTGAAACACTTCATGTTGTAGATGAGGCAGGACTTCTCCTTGGAGTTCTTTTTCGCTACTAGCAAAATTGGAGAATAAATTCCGGAACTGAGACTGCGTTGATCTAGGATCTCTATGGCATTTTTCGCTAAAAGCGAGTCAATGGTCTCTGTCAAGTTGATACGTTGTAGTTCTCCAATTCTCCCAGTAATAACCTTGACGTCCATCCAAGGTTGATGGTTGTACACGAATGACTGAGGGTGGAACAGACCAGTCGTTCAGAACCTGCATGGATCTGATCAACATTTGATCCTTGGAGTCCTTGCATACTTCCCAAGACGCTGATCAATACTGCCATCAAATAGAGTTGGCGCGCTGCCCAAGGTTTACGTAGTATAGACTTTGTGTAATAGTCTTGCCAGCTGCAGGTGGAGAGGAGTCCTTGACGCTGAAGTAAGGTCAAGCCCACCAACGTAGAAGCAAGGTGGTCGGACAAAAATTCCCGGTCCTTCTTATGTGTGACGAGTGCTGATAAGATTATTCTTTCAGTCTCTGTCTTAAAGTTCTGGAAGGTGTTGATCAAGGCTTCAATGATGGCCCGGGACCTAACCAACTCGAAGAGAGACCTCGTAGTCGTGTCTAGATATGCCAGCTTCTTATCTTCCACTCTATAACTGCGTGACTTAGATGACAACTTCCACTTCTCAGTGACTCTATGTCCGGTGCCTTGAAGAAAGGTTTCATGTTGTGTAAGGGAAATTTGCTCACATTAAACGCCGGAGTATGTTGCCCTTGAGATTTGGTAGCGTTCGCGAACGCTGACTTGAGATTTGACGGGACCTGCTATATCAGCTTCCTTGGAGGGATCATCAGCGTATCTAAATCTTCCTTCCAATGCCGTAGGTCTCTGCTGGGTTGGAGTTATGCGTCGGCGATGCTATCGGTAGACCCTCCGCAATCCATAATAAGACCTCTGAGTCTGTGCAGACAGATGCATCTACCACTTCGTGGACGCTAACATCTGAGGCCGTTGCTTTTGTCTTAAATGAAGTCGCCTATAGAGTCCGTTGGAGTAGAGTGGTTGAGAGGATGATGTGATTCAGTTGAACGTTGTTGTTGTAGTTATTGTATACAACTTGTCTGGAAACGGTCACCACAAAGTCTTGATCCAACTGTAACCTGACTTGTCCAGAGGGTTCACGAATGTTAATGAAGGTGTACTGCTTCACTGGTGACACTTTTTATTTGAGTTTGTCTACATAGATGGGTTCGCGATGCATTCGCGGACTCTATATCTCTCGCGAACCCTTTCGTGAACCATGTAGAGACGTGTAGAATCAGTAGACTGAGGCGACTGGTTGATTTTTGACTGGCGGATTCGCGAACCCTTCAATGAATCTTGTAGAGCTGATCAACAGGTTCCCGAACCCTGATGGTGTGGAAGAAGGTCTACGTTGAGATGACTGCTTTCTCTTTGACGCTGGAACAGTTGATGGTTGTTTTAGCGAACCAGGGTTCACAAACCCTGAGGCGTTAGTTGTCATCGTCTGCTGTGAAGTTATCACAGTTATCTGTGGTTCGAGAACCGGTGGTGATGTGTCTATATCATCTCATGCCATCAAGGCATTCTCGAACAATGTAGTCTCACTGGGAGACTTGGTTGGTCTAGTAGATCTGGATGAATGATGTGATGATGTTGTCTTCGACGTTGATGATTTCTTAGACGAAGCAGCTGATCTCTTTTTCTTAACCAGCCTCTGTAGTTCAGTCTCCTCCCTAAGAGGGGACTTCCCCTTAGAGAGAGGTCGTGTAGCTGTCTCTGTAAGAGTGACAGAGACGGGGGAGAGACCCCGGAGGGAATCTCAAAAACAATTCTCAAACAAGTCAGATGTCTGAGAGCCACCCTTATCTGCACCTACCTGCTGTCACGCCTGTCTTTCTCCATGACCTTGCGTAAACGTGCTAACAAATATTTATTAAATTGAAATTGTGATAAAGGTGCACAATATTTATTACGAATGTTTGACACAGAAAGGACACACAGGGTGTGGATCAGCCGCTGACATACATAGCCTGCATGTTTACATGCTACCATGTGTCATCTCAAATGGAGTGTGAAAATTCAAAAATGGACGTTGAAAATGACATGAAGAATATTTTCACAGCCTTAATTTGGATAGATAGGCCGAAATAGGAAAGATATTAGCCACAATAGGGACCCATAGTGACCGTCTAACCGTCTGCTTGGGCGATGAAGGAGAGAGTGATGAGAGCTGTGGTCAAGTCACATGTGACAGCTTTGGCAGGAATAGGGAGGCAACTCGTGGGTGAGTGATTTTACGATTCTTCAGGGAAGTAGGGGATTCAAATTTCCATGTTACCGTCGAAAAAGGAGAAGGGAGATAAGCAGTAAAAACATGAGTCAGGATAAGGAAAAATAAATCCATATTCAATTACCCAAGTTTATCCTCCGATGTTTATAACTTCAGTCATCATTATTCACAACAATCAAAATTCAGCTTATCTACGGTTATATACGGTAATTACTCTTAAATTCCATGGTATAATTCTGTCCATTAATGTTGTCAAGTTAGTTTTATGTGACATGGTTTTACAATGTATTTATACCAATTCACATTTCATTATCCAACTGCTTTACATCACAATGGGTTAAGTGAAATTAAGTGATGATGACTCTCCATATGACTCTTCTTATCTTCCTATCATGATAAAGGTTCATGTTTCATAAATGTTTTATTGGGTTTTTCAACTGAACAACTTTACCTTATGACATCAGAGAACTTCAATGAAGGCACAAATCTCTGTAGCTGTTTGACCTGGGCCCTGTAATAGATCCCCTTATACATTTCTTTCACCCCATATCCTAAATGTCGCCATGCCAGTTTCCTTAAGCCTCTGGAAACAAACACAAAGGTTTAGAGATTAAAAGCAAGTTTCAAATCCTATATTTGTATATGTACATCTACCTTCTGCATTTGGCAGTGCAACTGTACATTGTGTACTACTCTATTTAATTATGTGCTCTTTATCAAGTCATTTTCAAAGGTGGCAGGTGTATTTTCAATTTGTACAAGTCAATTGAGAATGATACCTGAAGCTAAGAGCATCTGCTAGTTCAGGAATGTTTATTTCCGTGTATCCATATCCCTCTCTCTTGAAGGCCAGAACTGCATTCGGGCCTAGCCACACATTCCCATCCATACGCGGTGTGAAGTGAACACCCAAGAAAGGAAAACGAGGATCAGGAACCTAAAAGATTAATATGACAATAGAAATTCCATTTTCAAACATCAGTGAAACAGGAAACTGATACAGAAAAAGCAGAAAAAAAGCAACAGCTTCTAGAATGCAAAATAGCAGTATTTACCAGACAGACAAAAGTATGTGGTGTTTAGGTAAAAATAGTGGTCCAAAATTGACCTAAAAATGTTTCTTCTACATACAGGGTAGATATTTCCCCGCACCAGGTCACATTTCTCAGGTATGAGTTCCAGGTATTCTCCTCGGAAAGGCACAATCCTTGGTTCCCTGTTGCATCCGGATTTCTCTGCCAGCTTGTCAGACTGCAGACCACCACACGTCACCACATATTTACATCTCAAGGCAGCATTCTGGACAGAAATTTATACCACCACACACTTGACTAAAATATTTGAACTGAAACATTTTAACTTGCAGAAAAGGGGCATTAAGTGATGAGAGGTATTTAATCAAAACCACAGAATATCACTGGATGTAGAGCCAGAATTCTCAATTGTGTAACTATCTATAGGCTGTCTAACAAGATTGAGACAGGTATCACCTGCCTAATTTACAAGGTTACACTTTACTTAGTGTGATCACCAGTGATGATTGCTGGGGTACCACGAACCAGTCAAAGTGTTTGAAACTTTACACTGAAAGGTCACATGCAACGTAAAACACAACTTTGTAGATTCTGATACCTTTCGGTATGGACTTAGCGAAACAAATCATCCAAAATACAAATTCAACTTATAAAGTTGAAAAATAACGCGATGAAAAAACACACGCGAAATCGGAGTTCAAACGATTCACTAATTTTCCCCCAGCGCTTTGGGGGAAAAGTGGTGTCAACAGCTGGGCTGCCCTGCGCTCATAGCACATGTGCAGTGAAATAGGTTCGCGCAGCTTGGAAGCGGGTTGTTTGGTGTGAGCTATTTTTCTAATGTTTTGTTGATATTTCACAGGAGCGAGCTTTTTTATATGTTATGACAGTAGATTACCGATTTAACTGTTTATATAATTTCATTTGTCTATTTCACCACACGTTCTTCTTACCGAGTCACTTTCTCAGTTCAATACTTAAAAGCAATGTCATTATTTAGCATTGACAGAATTTGTCTGCTAATGACAATATTCAATACACAACTTCGATCACTGACCACATGCAATTTGAACTTAACACCTATCAGGCTATACACCATAAACAAAACACATTGATTTATGGCCCGAGTTCGGTCTCTGTCACATTAGTAATTACACAGACAGGCAGGCGTGATACTTGTACACATGACATGTTATGATGTCTGTTGATTGCAAAATGTTATACACAAAAAATGAGCATGTATTTACAAAACCCAACATCTCTATATATACACACACAATGAGCCATGAGGGCATCTGCAAATGAACCAGTCGTTACACTTGAGTGCACACCCACCCGCTCTGACTGGGTTCGGAATCCCGGCTGGTTCATTTCTTGGGAACTAAACCGAAGTACAAAATATTGCACTTTTGTTTTGCGATTGTACGCTTATAATTTTTTTTATATGTTTTTTCATAATCAGCAATGTATATTATATGTCATGAATAAGTGATAAATGTGTTTTAATTATGCTTGATCTTTTGGTTGCATGTGACCTTTAAAAAAATCAAACCAAAGGTATTCTGAAGTAGGATTTGGTGTATCATCTCACTTTCTTAAGTTTACTGATTAAAGCTAAACTCAGCACAATTCACTCATCTAATAACCTCAACTTACTTGGGGACCTTTGCCAGATATTGTGACTGGGTACTGCAAGCCACCAGTGCTTCCTTCACTACTCTCACTGGATACATCAAACTTGGTCACTTCATAGTTTGTGTACACATGGCCGCCAAGTTTCTCAAATGTTTTCCCATAATCCCTGGTGACTACTCCCCAGTCTACAATGCCAGTATTTGGTGAATGGATGGCTTTAAGGCCCTGTAGGGAATGGAAACCAAAACATGGTATCTTATTTTATCTTGGAGGTTAACTTCTAATGGATTGTAATGCTGTACAGTTGTTAAACATTACATATCTTTCACAATTAGTTCCATATTATTCGTTGCAACTTCTATGACACATCAGTAAAGATTAATGCTGACTTTCTGTTGTGAGATTAATGCATGCAAGCATCTGCCATTAGCAACTTAAGAGGCAGGCAGTGGTTGAGGTGGGTTGTAGGGATGCAACTGTGTCATTACAGTACTGCTATTTCTAGGTATGATAAATGAGAAATATGTGCTTTACATCAATTCCTGTTGTGAGAAATGGATAATCATTATGCATGTTTTGATTGTTTGTTGTTTAATGCCACACACAGCAATATGGTGGCAGTCTGTAAATAATGGAGTCTGGATCAGACAATCCAGTGATCGACATCATGAACATCAATGACGTGTAAATTACTGAAAATGTTATAAGGATGAATAAATGATGAAAATGTGATTGACAATGCTTGATACTTACAGTTTTTGGTGTTTTTCTTACACAAGACACATAGTGAATCAAAAGCAGTGTCTACTGAATAAAGCATGACACGCAGAATGCATTTTCCAAGTTTAAAAACGAATACCATACTGGTTTAACCTGTTTGTCCAAAAGAGGGGAAATATTCTTTCATATGCAAGTGCCCAGCCCATTACAGGCAAAGACCATCCTGTGCGTGAAGATTTGTTCAATTGTACTAGGTTGGTTCTCACCTACCACACAGTTGGGTTCTATGTCCTTGATTTCATCTGGTCCAAGCACTCGCAAATCCTTGACACCGTTTTCAAGTCCTCGCTCATACAGTTTGTCTAGTCGAGGAATTTCATCAGTCTCTACAGCCACAATCAGCTGAAAATATCACAATCGCTGTTTAATTAAGAACATCAACAATTATTTATCCTAAACATTTGGGTTGAGAACACATGCAAAATATTTTTGATGCACTCTTGCAACAAGTACAAGCTTGAGAGTGAGCATGGTTTAAACCAGCCCTAGCAATTATTAAAGCCATATCACAAGGTACCCCAGCCTCCAACATCATACTGTTTCAAACCAGTTTTTGCAATTATTCCAGTCCTATCACAAGGTACTTCAGCCTGTAACATTATACTGTTGTTGGGAGTCAAACCCCTGGTCTTCAGCATGACAAGCCAACACTTGACCCTCTTACCCCAACATGGATGATGGATGCAAACCCTAATGACAACAAACACCAGCTTACAGTCTTCAAGAGGTCATAATTCAGCAGAAACAAAGACACTAACACTGTTGCAGCAGCTATTGATGTCCCACTGGTCAAATATTTTCACAAACCTTTTTCATTTTAAGTGTCCACTATGAATTGTACAAATTAAAAGTTAATTCTTAAATCATGCACATACCACCCCAAATTATTGGTATGTCATTACTGCAGATATTACCTTGGTGTATGGACCATCATTACCTTTTCTTTCTTCGCAGGAACACATTTTACTACACTGAGCTTCTGGGATTGTGGCTAGCCATGCTAACTGTAACATTACCATAAACAAATGGTAGAATGCAACTCTTTGACTATTGCATACTGACCTTGCCAACTTTCTTGTATGGCACATTATGTTCATCACAGTACTTATACGCAAGTTCAAGTCCCTCCACACACAACTTGGCCTTGAGGGTCCCGGGGGTATAATAGATACCTGCATGTACCACACCACTGTTGTTGCCACTTTGGTGGGCAGCTGAAGCAATGATACATTTATTTCACCTTATTGTGTGTGTGAGGATTGGTGTATGTATTAGGATTAATACAACTGATATATGAAGCTCCATAAGCTCAGCTTACTTTACCAATGTGTGTGTGTGTGTGTGTGTGTGTGTGTGTGTGTGTAACCCATTGGATGATTTTATGCATGTTTCATTTCATCATCACTTTCAATGATGATCAAACCTAAGAATTGTTCTACATTATACACAACACCACACAAGTACCGCTCAAAATGTGTTTGAAACAGCACACATCTCACAGTTGCAAACAAATGCAACAAGGTAGGTAACTCTGTCAACCTTATGTGTATCAATCTCTAACTGAAGTGGAGTATAAGGTTTTCATCACATAGAATTCTTTATATCAACTGAACACAAATGGGTTATCATCAAAAGGAGGAAAAAAATAGATTACCCAAGATATTTTCTTTTTCAACCACAGCAAACGAAAGTTGAGGATGTCTCATTTTCAACTCCCTTGCTGTGGCCATGCCCACAATCCCCCCTCCGACGATGATGACGTCATACTCTGAGGTTTGGCTACTGAAATATTGAAACTGATGTGAGCAATCAAGGAGTGGAATTTGATGTGGCTTAGGTTCAGATGTTAAATTGAAGCAGTGAGAATTAAAATGCCAGGATCCATTCACACATGTTTGAGTCACAAGAAAAGATGACATTTCTTAATCAATTCCTTCTCCTCAAGGAGGGGCCCACAGTGAGGCAATGGTGGGAATACAACTTACAATCTAATCTATAGAAAATCAAATCATTACATTTTTCATCCTTCATGAGGAATTGGCATTACTTTAATACTTTTGTGAATATTATATTACATTGTATAAAGTTTTATGTTTAAACACTGATTGAACTAAATCAATAATTATTCATTAAATTTACTTCTTACTCTGACATGTTTTCCATTTTGTACCATTACAAACACAGGCAAAACCATGCATGCCCCAAGTCTAAGTGCATAAACATTACAACTTTAATGGAGATTTCAAACTCAAAAAAAAAGTATTTCTCTTTTCATGTTGTTTACTCAAGAAAGAAAAGTTCATTCCTAAGGCAATGCAAAAGAGAATTCATTTCTTCAAAGATGAAGATTCTTTAACAAGTTTTTCATGTGCTTGTCTTGTTTTAAATGAAGCTTTTTTAGTGATAAGTAACTAAAGGATCCAGTGAGCATGTGAACAACACAATCCTGAGGTACCCAATAATTATCAGTTCATAGGCTTTGCAACTTTATTGGAAAGAATAGTTGGATTAGGTGTAGTAAAGTTAATGTGACCTAAGCTGAAATGTAGATCAGTCTATTTCCTATCTGCTGAGGTCTGGCATATATTGGTGTGTTATTATCCCAGTGTTCTGTGTGCGTTAATTACCAGGCACAACAGACATATTACTGATAGCTATGCTCTCGCTTCTAAAAAACTAATTAGTAAAGAGGGTTGGCTGATTTTGTTATCTGTTCCATTCCCTTAAAACTCAATTAATTAGTTGTGTCTTAAAATGAAAGGCACTCTTTCAGTTGTCACTAGGATATTTCCAAGGCTTTGTGAATAGAAATGAGGGCTGGCCAGGTGTGAACTATTTTAGACAAATGTGCAGGTGTTTGGTCATATTTACTTTTATTTAATGTGCTGCATATTGCAGGTCCAATAAATTGTACAGAAAATGAATATTTGATTGTCGGCGCACTTCCACTGCACATTTCTTTTTTCAGATTTGATAAAAAGATAGACATCAAAATTTGAAAGGAATCGTTTATCATATTGAAAATATCATATATTCAGTAAAATCATGATGATCCTGTGGCCTTGTGAGTACTGGAATAAAGACAAAGATCCAACACAATATGTCCTAATTCAAAATCACTGACATTTTCAAATAAGTGTTCAATATGAGGGCTGATACTGAATATGAGATATGTGATTTGTAAACATGAGACGTGGCTACAGATGATGGCAAGAAATCCTTGCATGGACATTTATGGTGTGACGAGAAGCTGCCACATGCAATGCACGTGTACGTCTGACATAATACTGTTTTCTTCAGTCTTCCTGATGGCAGTCAACACGTATAATATATAGAAGGTAGTTCTATGTCCTCTAAGTCCTGCTTCTCATCTTTCTGATCAATGAATCTTTTTCCAATCTGGTAACAGATCTGTGGATATTAATGACATGTCAACGGTTGATCACGTGTCTGCCATACCCTGAACTAGCATGTCTGTGTGTCTGCCAAATGCAACTGCTAGAGTGCGGGAAATATTCGCATAATCGTGCCCACGAACTCTGCAACAACCGTCCCCTTACGATGGAAGCAGCCATAATGACCGATATGACTTCACGCTATTCTCAACCTTCTATTCCTATCGTATAAGGGGAGGCAACCGCTTTGAGATTTGCAATGGAATGTTTTCTCGTGAAATGCCGACGGGCACCTGCGCGAGTTCGCCGGCGTTCGGTTGAGTCCGCCTTGTTTACTGTTCTGTAGCGGAGAGAGCCGAGAATCGCACGCTTGTGTACCGCTTGGTTGGAATAAGGCGGAAAGCACCTCAGTGGCAAGGTGTGAGGAAATGGAGGAAGAGTTGAAGTGTCCGATCTGTCGACGATTTTTTACTAAACCAGTTTTATTTCCCTGTACACACTCTTTCTGCATGGCTTGTGCTGTCAATCTGCAGGAACCTGCTCAGCAGTTGATTCCGCAAGTAACATGTAGCGAAGACGGCACCCAGGTAATCAACGACACCGTTGACTTTCCTGAAATTGACAAAGTCAGCATCGTTTCGGAAACTGACAGCGGGGTAGTATGTAATAGCCGACCATCAAGCTACGTGGGTACCCCAAGTCTGGCCAACATCTTTACCCAGACGCTACAGAGTTGCACCTATGGAATTAAGTGTCCCCTGTGTCACAAGCTTGTGTTTCTTGACGACTCTGGGGCTCATGCACTACCCCCACATCGTGTTCTAGAAGCGATCGTGGATAAATACACCCAACAAAAGCATGTAGAGATTAAATGTGAACTTTGTGAAAATGGCAGTTCCAACGCTACAACTATGTGTGAGCAATGCGAGGTGTTCTACTGTGATACCTGTCGCGATAGTTGTCACCCGTCCCGAGGGTCACTGGCAAAACATAATCTGGTCGCCCCTGCCCAGGGAAAGACGATCCTCAGGGCCAAAAACAAATCGAAGGATGCTAAATGTTATGAACATTCGGAGGAGCAGTTGAGCATGTTTTGCACTGGATGTAAAATACCTGTGTGTTTTACCTGTTCTCAGGAAGGACGCCATACTACTCATGATGTACAAGCTTTAGGGGCTTTGTGTAAAGGGTCGAAGGTAAGTCTCATTGTTATGATTAAACCCCAAACCCACTTCCTAGAACGCTGTGCATCCCCTAATCCTAATACATAAACCCTTATAGATTAGGTCCCCCTGTCCAGTATATACAAGCCACACGGCCTTGTATGTTAACCCATGGACCAGTAAACACCATGGTGTACATGTGTATTTGAAATTGATGTATTTATTGACACGCAATATACGAGCATGTGTAAATCAGATTCGTTACACGGGCAGGTATTTAGCAGCTTGTGTGATGAATGAACTGGTCTTGTAATACAGTGCACGAAGGGTCTTTATAATGACTGTTCTTTATTATGACTGCAGTGTCACAAAGATTTTTAATTTGACAACCTTGATATAAATCAGTCATGTGATCTCACAAAGAAAGTTTGCTTTTCATCTATTGAGCTTTAAATTTCACCTCTAGTTTGGTACCCTTAATTGTCTGTCTGTATATTGCTGGTTTATGTTGTCATGACTGACATGCAATACACAACTTCCTGAAAGTCACTGAAGGAGTACAATGGCCTGGAAGGAAAAGTGGTATGGATTTCATGACAAACATCAGTCATTTCAATGCCATGCCTGATGATTGGCATTACTGTATAGCATGTCAGAAAGTAGTATAGCAGAGATATATTGTGTATTTAATGTGAAATATATGCTGAAGTGGTGATCATTTGTAATAAATACATTCCCTTTCTGTGCCAGGCCTCAACCCAGAGTGGATTTACGATAAAAACACTCTGACAGGATTTAATTCCATTCATACTGAACGAATGCATTGCTGACTTGTTCAATAAAACCATAACATGCATTGGCTACATCTTAGCCTATTGCTGTACAGAAAAGTTCAGATTCATAAGACTGATGGTTACTGCATTATTAGATGATAAAGAAATATCTCCATCTATACATGTGGTCAGCACTATAGGTGTATTGTTCGAATGAAATGAGCATTATGATTCAAATGTAATAGAATATTTATGATGAGTTTTTCTTTTGAAATATCCAAACATAAGGTAGGATTTGCTTGAGTTGAAATGTAAGGTCTAATTTTAGGATCTTTGATTAGATTTTCTATTAAGTCAGATATTAATCATGGCAATTCCCAACTGAGTATGGAGAAGATGTATGAGTGGATGTGAACCCACACCCTCTGTGACCAGCCAAGCCCTGACTGTGACTGTACTCTATTGTGTATGGCGCCACAGCTAGGGTCCAGCCAGTCCTCTGAGGGGTTTCACTGAACCCTAACACCTGGAACAGCCCCAAACAAAAGACCCTTTAGTCACACCAACTGTCATATTTGGTTAGCTGGTAGAAAATGTGTTGGAAATCTGGCTTTGGCTTTTATTGATCATGCATGATGGGAATGATAAATTTGGTATTGAATGTTGATGACAAGTCATATTGCATGTTCTAAAATATTAATTCTTCTTGTAAGGATTATGGATGTGGAATAAATGGGCATTGCCTTTATCAAGCTTTTATATTGGGAATTACATTGTTCACTTGAATATTAAAGATATAAACTGAGAAACAACGATGAATATGTACATTATACAACTTTGTAACATATAAAAGTTTAAGGAAGAATGATGTGGTTTTATTGGAAGCATACCTATCTTATCAATCGCGTTGTTCTGCATTTTATCTGGATACAGATACATCTCAACCATGAATAGTACATTAAACACCTTCTTTCTTTTTGTAATGCATTTATGAAAGTGAAGATGTCTCTACTTTGAGTACCTCATGCAAAGGGATATTTTGAATAAAGTCAGGGTGTAGTGATTATATCAAGCTTTGATCTTGTGAAGAACACTGTTGTACTCTTTACTGGGATACAACAAAAGCTTGCCTTTTTCCACCTTGACTATACAATGAACACCTATTGATAAATATAATACATGTTCAGTCTTCACTCAACTCCACACTTTGATCTTAGAAGTACAGATTAAAATATTATGTGCTGTCTTTTTTAAAGTACACATGATTCAAGTAAAATGTCAAACCAAATATGAACTTCCTACTTCCTTAAATATGTTGCACTGGTAATCTCAGTACACTGGGCCTTTCAGTTCACTGAGAAACAAGCATAGCTGGGTCCATGTCATTTGTCAGGTAATCACATAAAGAGACAGGGAGAGAGCAGCTTGCCTTGCAGTGCCGTCTTCACGTCTCTCGGAGATACAAGTGTGCTGATAACTACTCCCTATTTCTTAAAGCTTATACTTGTGAGCCTTGGTGTGCACTTTCGTTCTGAAGTAAATTTGAGGATTGCACTGTTCTACCTGATAAGACATAAAAATATGTTTTCTGACAGAAGGGACCTTAAAGTCAGTTAGCAACAAGATTGTGTGATGTAGATTTAAAAAGAAACCCTGGATAAAATATGAGGTAATTGTTGTACATTTTGTATGTGTTTTGTTGTTAAGATGACCCTGCAAGATAAATAGAGACAGACATGGCATAAGAGATCAAAGCGTCTACACCTAAAATTTGTGTCATCCCGGTGATCAGAAGCACAGTTATTTTTAGCCTTTAGCAATTTTACCTAATTTGTTTGATAATGAGGTCATCTGAAATATCTCTTTATCTATAACTGTTCTATATAGCTTTGCATTAGTTCAGCTGAAGCATAGTTGCTGCAATGCTGCAAATTCAATTGTCTATATATATATCTTCCCAAAACACTTGAAAGGTTTTCACATATGCTTATGTAAAAGATATTCTAGATTGTTTGCTATTCCCATAAAGCAGAGATAGTGTTTCAGTTTTCATTATAACCTCTGTCTTGTCAAAAAGTACCAGACATTTTATGATTGCATATTGCAGTGAAATGTATACAGTAATAGTATGATAAAGCTTAATACACCTAGAAGCTAATACTTTAATGGACTGTAGCCTTAACATGGGTGCACCTGATACCATTTACAGAGTATGAAAAGATAACAGTGAGATGCTCAACACGATATGTCAGTGTGGTGAGGTGTTTGCACACTGAAGATAGTTCATCTCTCCACTTGCTTTCCCCAATCCCATGAGGTCCAATTAGACTTATGGCAGTGAGACTGGCTCACTAACTATCAGTATAATCCTCCGTCTTTCCTGCAATCCTACCAAACAGGAATGGAAGATAAACCATCACAGCCTTCCCATATCATGGATGAGTAGATGGTAGTCAGGGTTATGTTGCATTGTGTTGCAACTGACATGCAGTAAGGTAGCCCTGCGTCGTTGCCGTGCGGGTTGTTAGTTCAATTGTTTGAACATGGGTTCCTTGGTATTCAAATGGCGCCAGCAGTCTGTCTGTGGGCCTGTAACACACATTGGAGACCCAGGATCCCTTACGCTGGCCAATAGCTTTGCCATGGTGAACAATTCACTCTCTTCTGAGTACAGCAAGCCCTCTTGACTCTCTCCCTCTCCTCTCAACACTGATCGACTGACCAGACAGACCCTATCCCACTAATGTAGGAAGGGCTATGGCTTCTGTGACACTAATTCATTAGTGGGATAGCCCTGTAATGATACTAAATTTCATATAAAAAATATTGGTATACAAAAGTTGGAATTTTTTTCTTTCTAAATTTAGTTTTGAAAAGATATGTTTCTTTTTTTGTAGGAATTGGAATAATCTAAAAGCTAGTAATACATTCTGAAAATATTTTTTAGACTGGTTTTCTTTTAGAAAGGCGGTTCATGTTTCCCTATTAGCTCTTTACTAGGCAAGTAAAGTCACTCTAGCACCTTAAGAAGAGGATGTGCTCGGGCAGTTCCTAACCCCTCAACTCCTCAAGGCAAATTGAGTTACAGACTGGCAGAGGTGTGACAGAGATTCGACCAAAGGAGCCAGTATTGATTTCTTAAACTCCAAGATGTACCCAACAAGGTTTTTGCCTGTTAACATCGTGGATGAGCTATATAGGCCTCTGACTGGCATGTCAATCACTGCCTATTGCTTACTGTATAGGTGCAATACTCTGTCCAAACTGTCATGTTTACATTGATTACCTCTCACCGTTTTCTCCATCAATTCATACAGTCAATGTGAACCTTAATAAGCAGCTTTCTTGCTTGTCATTCCATCATTATTACTGGCATCAGGTGATTGATGAACCATTTGAACTGTTTGTCAACTTGCATGGCCAGATCAGTCACCTCTACAATCATGTGTGTGTACAAATATCTCCTTCATTATCTAACTAAGTTGGTATTTTTTTACAAACTGACCAATTATTTAGTTCTGTAGACTTCTTCCTGATGGTATTCAAGGGTCTTTATTTTATTTATTTAATTAAATAAATTTCATAATGTTATAGTATAGAAAAGCTACCGGTTACGAGAGCACAGACGGTGTAGCCTGCCTCGTATACCCATTTTTCAATTGCTCATGTGATTGCAATTTAGAAGTCCACTCATCCCCGCCTTGCTACATTGAATATTGCTGACAATGATGCTATACATTCCTCACAATTGTTATGAAATATGGTTACGGTGTGTTGTTTCCCTTTCAATGAAACCCAAAGGTGTGCCTAACCTACCCTTTTAATACTCATGTTAACTTAAGGAAGCCTCAGACTGGCTTGTTTATGACGATGGAGGCCCTTTGAATTGCTACAAGCAGACGGCAACATTTATGGAGTGTACATGTGCAGCTAGCCCCATTATGACCCCAGACAAGGTGCCACCATGGAGCTTGTTATTGATAAGTTTCACCAACATTTAAATGTATTCCTTATTCCATTGTCTCCCAGTTCACATCAATATTGACTAAAAGCATGCATCCAGAGCTCTGTCTATTGTTTCATAAAGGAAATCATTGCTTGGGTTCTGAGACAGGTGCGTGTATGGAGGCATATTCATTTGGATGTATTCATTGCTATTCATGGGCAAAACAATAGGATATCTGTTTGGGGATATTTCTGTCAGCAGTTGGTTTCTGTGATCAAGTCAAAATAGGGGATTTTATTATTGCCATCTTAGCG